AAGAGCACTGACTGCTGTTCCAGAGGACCCAGGTTCAGTTCCCAACATCCACATAGCTGTTCACAACCATCTGTAACTACAGTTTCAAAGGGATCCAATGCCCTCTTGTGGTGTATGTGGACACTGCATCTATATAGTGCACAAACATCCATGCAGGCAAAACACCCACACATAAAATAATTAAATATCAAAAAAACAACACCACATCTGTGACCTAGATGCTGGTATTCAGAACAAATTCCTATCCACACAAGACTATCTGTGGTAGTTCTGTTCCCCTGGAGGGCCATTAAGACTACATATTCCATGCTGTTCCTCAAATAAAGGCCTGATAGCCCAAGCCCACATCCAGAGCCCTCAAAATAAGAGGCTGATATAGATAGGAAAGGGAGAAATAATATTCCCTTCAGTCATCTTCAGGTAAACTCAAAAGGCAGCAATGTATAGAAAATAGCACAGAGTAGCCGAGCAGGCAAATCACTGAGTTTGAAGCCAGCCTGGTCTACAGAGTGAGTTCCAGGACAGCTTGGACTACCTGAAACCCACCCCCCAAAAAAAAGGAATTAAAAAAAAAAAGAAAAGAAAAGAAGTAAATAAAAGAAAAGAAAACTTTAGAACAGTCACATTTAAGATACATAAAGGAAAAAGTTAACTTCCTCATAAGTCAAAAAGGAAACTGAAATAATTTCAAAAGCTCCAATTTCAACAATTAGAAAGATTATTCAAACATCTAGGAATAAACTTCAGAAACATAAAAGCCTCAAGAAACCTACAAGAAGGCATTACTCGGCAGTTTCCAAATTTCTGACAAAATGGAGACACATATTGAAAATCAGCCCTGGCAAAAACTACAATACACATCACACACCAGTAGATCAATGAGAGCCGGCCAGTGGTGGCACATGCTTTTGAACCCAGCACTCAGGAGGCAGAGGCAGGCGGGTCTTGGTGAGTTTGAGGCCATCCTGGTCTACAGAGTTCCAGCAGGTTATTACACAGCAAGACTATTACACAAAGAAACCCTGCCTGGAAAAAACAGCAACAAAAATAGACCAATGAGAAATCAATCAGTAAGGCAAGCAGTTGCAGGCAAAGCCTATTAACAGCAGTCTCCAGAAGAAGCTAACACTTAGTAACCCCTATCTCACTAGGAACCAGAACATCAATGCTAAAAGAATAGACATTTTCTCAGATTAGCAAAACTAAAAAGGTCAGGAATGGCTACTATCAAAAGAGAAGGGCCTGGGCTGCACACCTTTAATGCCAGCACTCGGGAAGCAGAGGCAGGGTTCCATGCCAACCAAGTGATCTAGCGAGGAAGAGAAACTATCTGCACAGGGGAGGGGACAGACCACTGGTGGAGTCTGAGATATATGGGGTACACCCATAATATCAGCACTCAGGAGGCCGAGGCAGGAGAATCAAGTGTTCTAGGCCTAGCCAGGTGGTGGTGGCTCTCGGCTTTAATCCCAGCACTTGGGAGGCAGAGGCCAGTGAGTTTGAGGCCAGTCTGGTCTAGAGTGAGTTCCAGGATAGCCAGGACTGCACAGAGAAACCCTGTCTCAAAAAACCAGAGTTCTAGGACTGGAGAGATGGCTCAGGGGTTAAGAGCACTGGCTATTCTTCCAGAGGTCCTGAGTTCAATTCCCAGCAACCACATGGTGGCTCACAACCATCTGTAATGAGATCTGGTGCCCTCTTCTGGCCTGCAGAGATACATGCTTTGCTGGGCGGTGAGGGCGCACCCCTTTAATCCCAGCACATCGGGAGGCAGAGCCAGGCGGATCTCTATAAGTTCCAGGAAAGGCACAAAGCTACACAGAGAAACCCTGTCTCGAACCCCCCCCCCCAAAAAAAAAAAAAACAAAAACAAAAAACCAGAGTTCTAGGCCTGTCTAGACTACCTACCAAGTAAGTTTCAGGCCAATCTGGCCCTAATTAGCAGATCAACTGTCTCAACTACAAAGATGTGGAATCATACAATTTTTGTCTTTTTCTACCTGGTTTATTAAGCAAGTCATCAGGGTTCAGTCATCTTGTAACGTGTCAGAATTTTCTTCCTTTTATGGCTGAGTAATATTCCATTAATATAAATACATTCATAATGGTAATGGGACTGGAATTCAGGCCAGGTAAGCACTCTACTTCTAAACTTTAGCCCCAGCCCTCTTTACTTTTGAGACAGTGTCACTTTTTGAAAAGCTCACCAAGCTTTTAAAACAGTCCTGAACTTGTGATCCTCTGACTCAGTGTAGGATTACATGCATATACCACCACACCTGCCCCGAGCAAGACATTGCTAGAAAACCTGGAAGATAACTCAGCAGCTAAAAGTACTTTTTGTTCTCCAGAGGACCTGGGTCAGGTCCCAATACCCACATGGTATCTTACAGCCATCCTTAACTCAAGTTCTAGGGAATCTGGTACCCTCTTCTGGACTCTGTGGGCACCAGACATACACACAGTACACATACATACATGCAGGCAGGCAAAACACTCATACACATGCAAAAATATATATATATTTATCACACACACACACACATTTAAGACTGTTGTAACATTTACAGAGATGCAGACAAACGAACTAGAGCAGCTAAGATCATTTTTGAAAGACTAAAGTAAAAGGAATCAGGACACTCAGTTTCAAGATTATTTAAATGTGGTAATTGAGACAGCATGGTATTGGCAGAATGACAGACATATGCTGACTGATTTTCTTCAATGTGGAGTAAAATAACAATGTCCTTTGAAAAAATGGTCCTGGAGTAGGTGGGCACTCACAGGTCAAAGCTTTAGAGAGTACCATAAACGATGTGCATCCAAGACATGAGAAACAGAGAAGAGGCCCGGAGGTAAAGAAGGATAAAGACAGAAAGGAATGGCATCTTAATAGCCGTGAAATGTCTATATCCTGACTATGATACTGCCCACAGTTGGGTGAGAAGTTACCATTGGGAGAAACAAGGAAATGTACATCTCTGTATTATTCCTGACAAAGAGTTATCAGAATCAAATCAGTAATTTCCTCCATGTTTAAATTTTCATGTAGAACAACCGCACACACATATCCAGTTTTTAGGAAAACCCACTGCCAGGACAAGGAAACACGAACACACATAGGTGCAAGACCCTCTTTGGGTCCAGCAACAGCTCTAGATTTGAACTTCCTATCAGAGGCTCCTGCCCACTCACTCACCTGCTTCACTTTGACCGTGGAGTAGTGGGGACTCCGGCTTCTCTTAGTCCGTGGAGACTTGCTTCTTCGCCCTGAGGACTTGTTTTTCTTTTTGGCTGGGGACCTTTTTCAGAGCATGGTACACAGGATTTTACCTCAATGTCCCTTCCCCCAAATAAATTAGCTTCAAGGATCAGGCTCGCCTACTAAACACAACACATTTGTGAGATCACTAGTGGGGTCAGGCTTTCACTTTCCTAGTCACTTCTCCTGAACACACACACACACACTCACAAACTGCCTGCTTAAGCCTTCTCACTTAGATAACCTAATTCTTGAACCCCAAAGCCTCAAAAACCTTTCTTCTCCCAGTCTGTCATCCTACTAATTGGCACCACTATCTAGGAAGTCAATCTTGTCTGGGTTTTTTTTTTCTCACCAACACACTCCCTTCTCCAACAACCACATCCAATCCCTGGGCAGGTCCTAGGGTCCCACCCTGTCCTCCACCCCACGACATTCCTACCAGCCTACAATGCTCAATCACTCAATTCCAGATATACTGGCTGTTTTGGTTCAACTTTTAAAACAAACACAATTCCACTCCAGTCTTTGTATATACTTTTCTCTGTCATGATCTCGTGTGTGTGTGTGTGTGTGTGTGTGTGTGTGTGTGTACATAACCCAGCCTGGAACTCAAGATCCTCCCGCCTCAGCATCCCCACTACTGGATTACAAGCATGCCCGAAGGACGACATTGGGTTCTCCCTGGATTGTTAAGATTCTTGACTCAAGAGGATGGATCGATCTTATAGGTCAGGTCTCAGCTTCAACGGCACCTCTGTACGAGCCCTCTCCTCTTTTCACTCAACGTCTCACCATCACATTACTGTTTTTTTTTTTTTTTTTTTTTTTAGGTTTTTCGAGACAGGGTTTCTCTGTGTAGCTTTGCGCCTTTCCTGGAACTCACTTGGTAGCCCAGGCTGGCCTCGAACTCACAGAGATCCGCCTGCCTCTGCCTCCCGAGTGCTGGGATTAAAGGCGTGCGCCACCACCGCCCGGCACATTACTGTTTTAATTGATCCTTAACACTAATTGAATCTATCTACTTATTTTCCTTCTTAGGGTTAGAGCTTGCCCAATTTCGCCAGGGTCAAACCATCTCTCTTCTTCACATACGGCCCAATACCTCAACTGATCTTTAGCCCACACTATGCCCTCAGTAAATCGATGCTGGACGGAGGCATCAGAGAATTAGTGCTGCGAAGAAGTCGCCAAGACCCAACGTGAGGCACTCTTTGGCGGCAGGCAAGTGGAAAGACATTCCTACCGTCCACCATGGGCAGGCGGGGGAACCTCGTTTCAACTCAACAGGTGCTCTGCACCCTGAGTCGCTCGCACCGCCCGGGCCCCGCGCCATCCCGGCCGCGTCCCTCTCACCGGCTCGCTCCCCGGGCTCGACTCCCGCGGTGGCCGGCGCGGCCCGGCTCAGCGGCGGGCGGGGACGAGCTAGCGGCTGGGGCATCGGGCCGGCGGTGCGCGACAGGTTCGGGGCTCAGACGCTCCTGCTTCACCACCACGGTCGCCAGCGCGTCGTCAGCCCGGTGTCGCCGCCGGCCGCTTCGCTCCCGCTCGCTCTTCCCCGCCTTCATCCTGCCGCCCGGCCGAGAGCCACTTGCACGGTCCGTTGAGCCACTCGAGCCGAAGGAAGTGACGGGCCGACCTTTGCACTTCTGCTTCCGGGCAGCCTGCTATCCCAGAAGCCCTCACGGCGAGGTTCCCCCCACCCCCGGTGGGCGGGGCCGCAGGCGATTGGGTTCACACGCTGGGGACACCTGGGCTGGTGGTCCCCGACATCCCGGCTGCTGGGGAAGTGAGACTGGAGGACTGAAAAGTCAGGGCCAGACCTCGGAAGGCTGAGGCAGGAGGATCGCTGTGAATTCGAGGCCAGCCTGGGCAATTTAGACTCTGTCTCAAAATTTGAAAAAGTTGTCTCTCCGGTAGAGCGATTGCCTCGCCGAGCCCGAAGCCCTGGATTCCATCCGCAGCACGGCCAAATAGAAATTAAAGTTAAAAGTGGCGGAAAGCCTGGGGATGTAGCTTAGTTGTAAAGTGAGCTTTTGCTTCGCTTGTGCGAAGCCCCGAGGGCAATCCCCAGGGCCTCAAGAAATGACCAAAAATTTGTTTTGTTTTGTTTTTCTAAACAGGATTTTTATATGCAGCCCTGGCTGTCCTAGAACTCACTCACTCTGTAGACCAGGCTGATCTCAAACTCGAAGATCCGCTTGCCTCTACCTCCCGAGCCCTGGGATTAAAGGCGTGCGCCACCACTGCCTGGCTTTTAAAAAAAGAAAAGTCTTATGTGGGAAAGCTAATCCAACGCTGTTCGTGGCGGATTGTTGATGGTTAACAAAACACAGACAAATACTCAATAATAGGAAATTCTTTTTTGTTTCTTGAGACTGTGTCTTTATGTAGCCTTGGCTGTCCTGGAACTCACAGAGATCCACCAGCCTCGCCTTCCAAGTGCCAATCGTTGCCAAACAATCTAAGGAGTCAGGAGATAACTTCCATTTTAAGGCTCAGGAAAGATGGTTTGCCCATGTCATCACATCCCTTATCAGACCTAGCGGTAGGGCTCCAGTCTTGTTTACCAAGAAGCCTAGAGTGTGCGGAGCCGGGCTCAGTAGAACAAAACTTGCACGCGGCCAGCTCCACCTCCCTATGAAGCCCCGCCCCATCCATGGGGCAAGGCGAGGAGGGGTTTCCATGGTGACCGCAAACAAGACCCCACCTGGAGGGGCCGCTACAGAGTTGGCACCCCTGCTGCCACCATGATACCCCCCGCAGACTCTCTGCTCAAATATGACACCCCGGTATTGGTGAGCCGGAACACCGAGAAACGGAGCCCCAAGGTATGAACAGGTCTCAGGGGATGCGAGATCCTACAAATTCCCATGGGGAAAGACATCCCAGCTTTGAGAATCTCTGGAATTTCAGGAGACAGGCATTGCTGGGACTGACAGCCAAGGGAATTGGGACAAGGACGACGGAGGTGGGGAGAGGAATCAGACATGCCTAGCTGTGACCCTAAAGGACAGATTTAAGATGAGAAGTCACAGGGAAATGGACTTGTGGGCTTGTGGTAGTCAGGTCCAAGTATAGGCCAGGTAGTGACTTCCCCATCTCTAGAGAGTCAGAGCAGAGGACTGACCACTCGCTCTAGAAACACCAGTTCGGGGGGGGGGGGGGGGGGGGACAAAAAGAAACACCAGTTCAAACACAGGGCCAGAGCCAGATATCCCTCTTGGTCTCTTCAGCTCATACTCTGTTGAGACCACAGATGAGGGAAGTCGGTCGGCTGGAAATGGGGAAGGCTGTACAAGAGCTGGAACAATCTGGAGGTCCTGTCTCACCTGTCTCTTAGGCTCGGCCCCTGAAAGTCAGCCTCCAGCAGCCTGGACCCTCGGGTCCAGTCCCACAGCCACCCAAGGCCAAGCTACCCTCGACTTCCTGTGTCCCAGATCCTGCAAAACAGGCAGAAGAAATCTTGAATGCCATCTTGCCTCCAAGGTAAAAAATAAAAATAATAAAAATAAAAAAGGGCGTGGGGTGGAAGAAACAGTAGCTGGGAAAAGGTCCAAGCTCTTGTCTCCAGAACTTGGGTGTGTGGGGCCAGGAAATTTACCTGTGTGGGGCCAGGAAGTTTACCTGTTTTCTGCCTTGGGTTTTTGCTCAGCTTTCTTGATTTCATGGAGTCTAAGTATGGCTGGATGCTCACAGCCAGGAAGGAAACCTCTAAATCCATCCTCATACCCTCCATGTTCTGAGCAGTCTCGTAACTTTAGATGGCAGCTATTCAGTCAGCTTTCAAATATGGGTCTCTAGTCGAGCCCTGTTCCTCCTAAACTCCATTCCCAGTATTCTGCTCCATTGGTACATCCATCAAGGTTCCCCCATAGAGAGCCTGGTGTGGTGGCATGTGCTTAATCCCAGCACTCTGCTGGACACAGGAAGGTTGCCTCAAAGTCAAGACCAGCCTGGACCACAAAGGGAATGCCAGACCAGCTAGTGCTACATAGCAAGGCTGTGTCTCAAAAAACTCACAAATAGGGCTGGACAGATGGCTCAGAGGTTAAGAGCACTGACTGCTCTAATGGAGGTCCTGAGTTCAATTCCCAGCACCCACATGGTGGCTCACAACCATCTGTAATGAGATCTGGCTCCCTCTTCTATATACATATTAAATAAATCTTTAAAAAAAATGTAGCGGGGCGGTGGTGGTGCATGCCTTTAATCCCAGCACTTGGGAGGCAGAGGCAGGCAGATCTCTATGAGTTCGAGGCCAGCCTGGGCTACAAAGGTGAGTTCCAGGAAAGGCGCAAAGCTACACAGAGAAACCCTGTCTTGAAAAAAAAAAAACCACAAATAAAGCAAGGCCCAGTGAATCTCACCTTTAATCCCAAAACTCAGGAGGATAAACATTTAAGGCCACCCTGGGCTACATAGCCCAGCTAGAATTCTCAAAAAGCCTCCACCTAATGGACATTTTTCTACCCAAGGCAATAAAGCTGTCTCTCAGAATAAAGAAAACACGGAGAACCTGTGATCATCTCCAGAGATGGAGATAAGAGAGAGGTGTCATTTTTCAGTGGATTCTCTCCCACCAACATAGACATCCTCCCTCCCTTGCTATCCTGCCTGCAAGTTCACCAGTGCAGGAACTGGCTGTGCCTCCAGCACAGAATTCATTATGGGCAGCCATCGCAAACACAGCCCTTCAAGAACCTCTATACTCCCAACACACACCAATGCTTCCTAGTGGCTTGCGTGAGGTTTATGATGATCCGTGTCTCCACCATAAGCCAGTGTGGGGAATCCCCACTGCATCTTCTGTTCAAATCAAGCAGCAGGACCATGCATCTGTCCTCACCATGCTAGGCAGGTGAGCAGAGGGTTGTGGTCTCATGGACAGTGCAGATTGCCCATCTAACCAACCCCGAGGTAGGTGTCCTGTAGAGGCTGCATAGCAGCGGGTGTGGCTTGGGAAAGAGAGAGAAGTGGATTCTGGTGGCATGATGGCTATGCTGCCTCTCGCTCCTGCTCAGGCAGAGAGTGCCTAGGGCCGTTTGCTCACATTGGGTGGCTTGTGTCTGTGTCATAGGGAATGGGTGGAAGACACACAGCTATGGATCCAGCAGGTGTCCAGCACACCCAGCACCAGAATGGATGTGGTGCATTTGCAGGAGCAGCTGGACCTGAAGCTTCAGCAGAGACAGGCCAGGGAGACAGGCATCTGCCCTGTGCGCAGGGAACTCTACTCTCAGTGTTTCGGTGAGTAGGCTTGGTGGGGTGAGAACTATACACTGTCCTTCTAGCACAAAAACATGCCCTGGTTACCCCCAAACTACACCCCGCATTTAGAAATCATCTCTTCTTTTTCCTGATTCCCCCACAGCTGCTGAGTACATTCCCTTCCCTTCCCAGTCTCCACCTCAGCCAGTCATCCATACGCCAGACGTTCATCGTCACTGAGGTGCCTTATCCCTCACAGATGTTTGTTTGGTTTTTATGTAGACTGAGATTTATTTTGTGTGTGGGTGTGGGTGCACACACGTGCACATGCATGTTTTTATAGGGGCACACATGTGCCATGGCATGAGTGTGGAGGTCAGAGGAAAACTTGCAAGAATTGATTCTCTCCTTCTACCATGTGTGTTCTGGTGATTGGCTCAGGTCATCAGGCATGGTGGCAAGTGCCTTTACCCACTGAACCATTTCACTGGCCCCTTAATAGGTATTGGAGTAAGGTAAGAACTTCCGTTTTAGCCAGGCATGGTGGTACATACCTTTAATACAAGCCCTTGGAAGGCAGAAGTAGGCAGATCTGTCTGGTTTGAGGTCAACCTGGTCTACATAGTGAATTCCAGGCCAGCCAAGGCTACATTAAAAAAAAAAAGAAAAAGAAAGAAAAAAGACTTCTTATTTTGAATCTTTGCTTTTTTTTTTTTTCAAAGATTTCCATAATGGCCTGTGCTTTATTTATTTTTTTTTTTTTTTTGGTCAGGGTTTCAATATCTAGCCCTGGTGGGCCTGGAGTCAAGATCTGCTGCCTCTGCCTCCTGAGTATTAGAGTTAAAGGTGTACGTCACTACTCTTAGTTTTAATTTTTTTAAATTGATTTTTCAATACCAAATGATCATCCCTGGAAACACATACACACAACTAACATGGTATGGAGTGATCAGGTTGTATTTATATATTTAAGAATATAGCAGCCGGGCAGTGGTGGCTCCAGGCAGAGACAGGCAGATCTCTTAGTTCTGAGTTGGAGGCCACCCTGGCCTACAGAGAAAGTTCTGGGACAGCAAGGGCTACATAGAGAAACTCTATCTCAAAAAACAAAAAACAAGAAAAGAGAAAACACACACACACATATGTAACAAGAAGAAAGTCTATGAATTTAAGAGACTGGGGGAGGCATACATGGGGGAAGGAGAGAGAGAAAAGGGAAGAGGAAAAATGATATAATTATTTAAAAACTCTCAAAAGTAAAAATAATTTTTGTTTTGTTTTTTCGAGAAAGGGTTTCTCTATGTAGCCCTGGCTGTTCTGGAACTTGATCTGTAGACCAGGCTGAACTCAGATATCAGCCTGCCCTGCCTCCTCAGTGCTGGGATTAAAGGTATGCACCACCAACACCCGGCTAATAAAAATAATTTTTTATATAATTTATTTTTATTTAATGTTAATTGGTGTTTTGCCTGCATGGATGTCTGTGTGAGGGTGTCAGAAGCCCTGGAACTGGAGTTACAGACAGGTATGAGCTGCCATGTGGGTGCTGGGAATTGAACCCAGGTCCTATAGAAGAGTAGTAGCCAGTGCTCTTAACTCTCTAACTCCATAAAAATAATTTTAATACATAATTTATTTTATTTTATTTTATTTTGTGTGTGTGTGTGTGTGTGTGTGTGTGTGTGTGTGTGTGTGAGAGAGAGAGAGAGAGAGAGAGAGAGAGAGAGAGAGAGAGCAAGAGCCCGCGAGTGAGCTATGTGCATGCAGGTGCCCATGGAGGACAGAGAGGCACTGGATGCCCTGGAGCTGGAGTTACAGGCAGTTGTGAACCACCAGACATGGGTGTTAGGAAACAAACTCTGGTCCTATGGAAAAGCAGCAAGTGCTCTTAACCACTGAGCTAGCTCTCCAGCCCAATGTACAAATATTTTAATCACAAAATTGATATCTACCTTTATGTCTATCCATCCACACTCCACCCACATTCCAGAAAAACACTTCGGTCATTTGTCATTTGTTGTTGGGATGACACAAGGATTTAAGATGTGCTCACTGAGTACTGATGTCAGCTGCTGCCCTCTGCTCAGTCATCCTGGCCCTAAGGGCTCTCAACTGCAAACTCCCTCCAAACTCTCAGGCAGCTGCAGATTCAGCAAGTGGGCCTTAGCCTGCCTAATACAAAGAGTGTGGTTTGCCCTCCAATTTGGGTACTTACAGAGGGAGAGAAGCAAGTTCTATATAGACCTTGCTAGTCTTAGTCACAAACCAGTCTAGCCAACAGGAACGCTGTTTGTTTGTTTGTTTATGGAGTCAGGGTTTGTTCTGCGTAGCCCTGGCTGTCCTGGAACTTGATCTGTAGACCAGGCTGGCCTTGAACTCAGAGATCCGCCTGCCTCTGCCTCCCGAGTGCTGGATTAAAGGTGTGCTACTGCTGCCTGGCTTAGCACGAGTGTTTTTCAACACCACCATTTGGGAAGGCCAGTTCTTGTACCCACTTTGTGCCTGAACACGGAAGCGAGGGGACCAGCTACCACAAAAAAAACCTGGGGCTCTAGTCTCTCTCTTTCCATGCTAAGCTTGCTGATAGAATGCTTCTTCAAGAGTCAGGTTCAGAGGAGTGACTGTATGGCCAGTTCCTTAGGTCATGGAAAACACCCTCTCATAGTGCCTTCTTATAGACCATATTTTATTTTTTGTGTGTGCTGTATGCATGTGTATGTGTGCACATATGTGTTTGTGCATGAATGTGTGTGCACGTGTTAAGACCAGAAGTTGGCCTTTAATCCCAGCACTCAGGAGGCAGAGCCAGGCGGATCTCTGTGAGTTTGAGGCCAGCCTGTGCTACCAAGTGAGTTCCAGGAAAGGCGCAAAGCTACACAGAGAAACCCTGTCTCGAAAAACCAAAAAAAAAAAAAGAAGAAGAAGTCAATGTCAAATGACTTCTTCTCTCATTTTCCACTTTTTGAGATCTTTTGAAAAACTTTGTGTGATGGGTGTTTTACCTGCAAGTATGTCTGTGCACATCTATGCAGTGCCCAAGGAGGCTGGAAGAGAGTATTGGATACCCTGGAACCTGAGTTACAGGTGGTTGTTAGCTGCTAAACATGGATTTTTCTGGAAAAACAGTCAATGATCTTAACTGCTGAATCATCCCTCCAGCCCCTCTATCTTAGTTTTAGAGACAGGGTCTTTCACTGAACCTGGTGCTCTTTGATTTAGCAAGACTAACTGGCCAGCAAGCTCCAGTGGATTTTCTGTCTCCACTTCCCCAGGACTAGAATTACATGCGTGCCACTGTGCCTGGCTTTTTATTTGGCTGTTGGGAATCCTCCTTTTACCAGCTGTCATTTCCCCAGATCCATGCCTCTGAGAACACATCCCAAGTCCTTCCCAGGAGGAAGGGTGGCTTGCCATAGACTAAGTGCCTGTCCGCTCACCACTGCCTTTTATCTCCCTGTGTGCATGTTGGAAGATGAGCTGATCCGGGAGGTCACCATCAACTGTGCAGAGAGGGGGCTGCTGCTGCTGCGGGTCCGGGATGAGATCCGCATGACCATCGCCGCCTACCAGACTCTGTATGAGAGCAGCGTGGCATTTGGCATGAGGAAGGCACTGCAGGCCGAACAGGGGAAGTCAGACATGGAGAGGAAAGTGAGTGGGGTTCACCATGTCCCCATGGCTCCCAGGCTTTTCTGTTAGTCTTGGCTTGCAGTTGTTATTGCAGCCCCGAATTCTGGTCCTGAGGGTGTCCTCCACACTGATAGTGCAAGGCCTCAGTGAGAAGAAGGTGGTCTTCTTGTCTGAGGACACTCCATGTCAATCACTGACTTCCCACTGGGTGGCAGTACATACCCTGGCATCGTCTTAGGTTGGACTGTTGTGTCCTAAGTCTCCCCACCCAGGCTCTCATAACACTCAATGCACGTGGGGATGTCCCAGGATGACGGCCATTCTATCTTCAGATTGCAGACTTGGAGACAGAGAAGAGAGATTTGGAGAGGCAAGTGAATGAACAGAAGGCGAAATGCGAGGCCACTGAGAAGCGGGAGAGCGAAAGGCGACAGGTGGAGGAGAAGAAACACAATGAGGAGATCCAGTTCCTGAAGCGGACCAATCAGCAGCTGAAGGTAAAGGAGCGCATTGGAGTCTTCGGTTTTTTTTTTTTTTTGTTTGTAGTAGTGGAGATTCAGTGTCATGAAGGACACTGGGCAAGTGTTAGACCCTAAACTCTATCTCTAGCCCTCCTTTTCACTTTTTTTTTCTTGTTTAGAGTTTTGAGACAGGGTCTCATGTAGCCCAGGCTAGCCTCAAACTCACATTTTCCTTCATAGCCTCTGTACTCCCAGGATTATAGGCATGTGCCACCATGCCCAACTCTCCTTTTAATTTTCTTTTAAAGAGTTGTTTGTTTTGGGTTTTTTAAGACAGGGTTTCTCTGTGTAACAGTCCTGGCTGTAAAAAGTTTTTTAAAAAGCTGGGAGGTGGTGGTGCAAGCCTTTAATCCCACCACTTGGGAGTCAGGGGCAGGCGAATCTCTGTGAGTTCAAGGCTAGCCTGGTCTACAGAGTTCCAGGACAGGCTCCAAAGCTACACAGAGAAACCCTGTCTCAAAAAAGGTCAGTGCCCCCCGACAGGCATTACCCGTCTCTGAATACTCATTATCATACAGGTTCAATCGTGTGTGTGTGTGTGTGTGTGTGTAAGCTGCAGAGTTAACTGCTGCCAAAGATCTCAAAGTGGCGCTGAGCTTGCAATCTGTGTGTTCGACACAGAAAAGACCAATAGAAGTCCTAACCCACCCATAGCCAGTAGGCTAAAGGCAACTGAGCCATTCCCTTCTTTAATGAGCCTTACAGAAAAATGGAGTCCTTGTAAGATGGTATCCCCAAAGCAAATGGAACTTGAGTTTTATAAATTTATAACTTTCAAAGCCAATCAAAATGTATATAACTATTGAATTAAATTTATCATGCCCAATAGAATGAAAGATTAACTAACTGTGGTAGCTACTTTTGCTCACCCTGGCATCTTGATGCACTGTGGCAAAAGCAGAGAAAGCTTTTGAAATAAGGAGTATATGGGAAGCCCCGCTAGGTGCATGGCAGAGGAAGCCAGCCAGAGGTGGTTTTCCTCAGTCCAACTGAGGTGCTGGCAAAGAGGGCTGAGTGGGAAGGAGGCCAGGCCACTGGCTGCAAAGGCTGAGCCCCAGACAAGCATCACCCTTTTCACAAGGCAACTCTTATAAATAATTATTGGACACCCCTAGATGTGCCAAATAGAAGCTATGGGGCTAGTGCCCAACAGCGCAGCTTCACAAGGCCTCGGAAGGTTCTGGGGCTTGCTGAGGTTTAAGCATCACTCTTCTAAATATGGCGTCTATACATATCTCTGTGAGTTCGAGGCCAGCCTGGTCTACAGAGCGAGATCCAGGATAGGCTCCAAAACTACACAGAGAAACCCTGTCTTGGGGTGGGGTGGGTGTGGGGGGGGAACCTAACCAAACAACAACAACAACAACAAAAATGGTGCCTATAAACCAGCTCTCTCCTACCTCCCTAACTTAAAGCCAAAAGGTCTGGCCCTTGAGATAGGGCAGGCTTTGTATGAGCCATCAGCAGAGGATGAGAGATTTTGCTTAGTTGCTCGAGTCTATTAAAAGAAAAGCTGGAGACTTCCCCAGCCAGATGTAAATGTTGACACAGCAGATTCCAAAGCTGGTTCTTTAGTTCCAGCAAGAGCAAAGCTGAATACCTTAGCATCCTTCTGACATCCAAAGGCAGCCTTGAAATCCCCAGGGCGAAGGATTCTTTACCCGAAAGCTCTTTTTATTGGCTCAAAGCTGCACTACAAAGAAAGCAGTGTTTCCAGTCCCCAGGATGGACCTTAAGGGTCTGTTCACTTATCACCGCAGTAAATCACTGTGCTGGCTGCTAGAGGAACTCAGTAAATAAGCCCCAAGTGTCTTATGCTTTCCCTACTCACTGGTAGCAATTTCTTCTAATTGAGTGTCAAGTTGTCTCGTTTCCTAGACCTCTGGTCCAAGGGAGCTCCACCATACTAAGCCAGGGAGCCCAGTGTTTAACTTGGGGACACACTCAGACTTAAAGCAGGAGCAACGGGAAACCACTGTTTCAACAACTTTTATTCCATGTCCCCTTCTGTGCTTCCTATTATACACTGAACTATTATTGTATGGAAACCAGGACAGCTCTGTTTTCTGCTCATGTAACAAAAGCATGCCAAGCTTGAATCCAGCTAATCTAGAAAATGTGGAGCTGAGTCAGAAGGGGGTGGGGGGGCGCTCAGAGTGGCAGCCTTTGGGCTATTCCTCCCAGGCAAGATGCAAATATTAATGGAGTTTTGTTTTTGTTTTTCAGGCCCAACTGGAAGGCATTATCGCACCAAAGAAGTGATAATTTCCATATGGGTCTCAGCAGGCACTCCACCCCATCCTAAGCCCATTGTAATAAAAAGCCAGTTTCCTGAGTGAACAACCCATCCCCTCCCCTGATCACCACTCACGTAATTGTTAGAACTGTTGCCCAGTGCCACGAAACACCTACGGTCTAGCAGCCAGGCTCCTGGTTGGGCAATGGAAGGTGGTGTAACTCCGCGTCCATGTGCATCTTACAGATTGGCCTGGGGAATGTGTCATCTCAACAACTCAGGAAGCAAGTGTTTCCCCAGAGAAACTACTCTTGCATCAAGTTCAGTTCACGTTCCCCTTGTCTCTTGGGCTTCCCTGGGACATCCTTCCACTTCATCACTTCGCTAGTGTAACTTAGCAACTTATTTCCGAGTTTGCTTTTAGTCTCCATTCCCACCCACCAAGACATAAGACCCCGTCCTCAGTCTGCCTGGCTCCGTGAGGAAACAGACAACCCATGCTCGATGAGAGGTATCGAAGTCCCAGGATCTGAGAGCTGTGTGCACCCAGGTCCTCCCATTGCGCCTTCTGCAGGAAGGATGTCAAAGCCTGACTCCACCCCTAACAAGTCATAATGAACAGCCAGGGAGGTAGCCACATCTCACACGCAGTTCTAGTCAGGTTATGGCCTAGACAGTTTGTAGATCCAGAAGACTCAAATTACAGACAAATTTCCACTCAGGGAAGCCCAGGGTGGGAGAGGACAGGGAGCTTGGTGACACCCATCATTCAGTCAGGTGTCAGAAGGGCAGTTAAGGCAGCACTAACATTTCCTTCCATTTGGTGCGACTGCCTCAAGTACACAGCACCCCTGCAGGGGTGCCAGAAAGGACTCACTCCCTGGAGGCTTTGCCCTCCAGCCCAGTCAAGGCTTACTGCAAGGCTTCTGATACCAAGAGCTGTTCTGAGTTGACCATATCCCAACACTGTGACCTTATAGTACAAGTCACATCTTTGACTCTCACCCAGTATCCTGAGGAACTAGGTCTCCATTAGAGCAAGCTGCTGTGCTGCCACCTTCCCGGAAGAGCCTGGTCCCTGTGGTGTGCTGGCTTTGTGGCCTGCACAGCAAAGCATCTGTACCCTCATAAGCCCAAGTAAACTCATCACAGTTGCTGAGCACTCATCATTCCTGCCAGCCTCACCACGAACGTCTCTGAAGCACTTGTGCCCTTCCCGCCCTGGAGGCTCGGTTCCCAGCGCTGCTGAGTAGAGCAGGAGAAAAAATACACGTCTGCAGTAGACACACACAGAAGGGTCCCACTCTGGAGGAACTGAGGGCCAGGTCAAGTGCTGGAAAAACTCTCTGGCTGAGGATTTACTCTTGTCACTAGCACTGGGGTACAGCCCCAACTGCTAAGCTTCCCAAGTGTGTTGTGTCTTACAGATGCCAACTGGGCACGAGAAAAATGAACACAATTCCTAAGGCACATTTTTGTATAATTTAATAAACAACGTTCTAGATGTTACTGCTTCTGTCTGAATTTCTTGTGTTTGTGTTTCTGTCCCTCCGAGTCGTCCGTCTTCTTTTTGTTCCTGTTTCTGTTTTTCACATTGTGTGTTTCATAGTAGCGCACACCAACTTTTTTGGATTGTTGCTGCCGGGCTGCTCTCCTCCGCTGCAAAACACAACAGCAAAGCAAACCAGTCAAACACTGAAGGTCGTGAAACAGGAGCCCACTTCCCAGCCTCTCCATGCCTGTGCAGCTACCACAGCAAGGGAAGCAAAGCTGAGGGACTGTCAACCCCAGACTGATGGCCAGCAGCAGACTCACTGGGCCGAGCCCTCATCCCTCTACCCGGGGAGCCTGCTTCAGCTCTGCAAAGCTGTCCTTCACAGAGGTCAGGTACCTGCCTGCCTCATCAGCTGTACTCTATGTCACCTCCCTGGAACCAGACAAACCAATTCTTCTGACCAACAGGACACAGGCTTGAAGATGGTAACCTAGAACTCCTGAAACTAAGACTCAGACTCAAGGGGCCACTTCTTGACCAAAATTAAATTATATCAGGTCTGCTGTGGAATAATCCTTCAGTACACTGTGAATGTGTATTACTCTCATTGGTTAATAGAGAAGCTGACTGGCCTATAGCAAGGCAAGATAAAGTTAGGGGGGACAATCAAACGGAGGATGCTGGGATGAAGAAGGGAAGAGTCAAGAGAGAAGCCAGGCAGCAGGAAGTGTAGAAAATGAGGTAACAAGCCATGAGCCACATGGCAAAGCATAGATAAGAAATATGGGTTAAGTGTAAGAGTTAGCTAGTAACAAGTATGAGCTATCGGCCGAGCATTTATAAATAATATTAAGCCTCTGTGTTGGTTATTTTGAAACTGGTGGGCGGGAGAGAAACGTCCAACTACACAGGTCATTAAAAAGTGGGGTTTCTAGAATGCCTAGCTCTAAATTCTTATTTGTTTCAGAAAGAATGGGTCTTGAGAACTGGACTTCTAGTTGGATGTGATAGCTCTAACTTCAGCATTTGAGAGACTAAGATAAGGGGACTGCCTGAGTTTGAAGGTAACCAGGGCCTGCATAGCAAGACCCTGCCTCAAAGGAAATAATAATAATAATAATAATAATAATAATAATATAATATAATATAATAAACAACAAGCCGAAGGGATGGCTCAGGGGTAAAGATGTTTGCTGCCAAGCCTGACTAAAGCTCCATTCCCAGGACCTATGTGATGGAGAACAGACAAGTTGTCCTCTGATCTCCAGGTGCTCACCATGTCATGAGGTGCCTGCACACATGCACGCACACAAAATAAATGTAAAAAACAACCTCAAAATGAACTTCTGATTTTTGTTTTGTTTTTTTTTCCCCTGTGAGAAGGTTTCACTATGCAGCTCTGGCTGTCCAAGAACTCACTATGAAAGCCGGGCTGACCTCAAACTCAGATATCCACCTGCCTCTGCCTCCCAATGCTGAGACTAAAGGCATGATGGGCATGGTGGGATGTGTCACCATGCCCGGCTGGACTTCTGCTGTCTATGCCCCTGTCTCATTAAAAGAAGCAGAATACTTACTTCCTTACATGTCAGCATCCTCTGAGTTTTATTTGAAGGTTCTTCTTCCATCTGTGCATTCCGCTTCCTTCCCTTTTTGGTGGGCGCTGGATACAAATGATACATAAAACACAAAGGAGATTAAAAATAGACCATTTCAAAACCTGGAGGACTACAGTGGGTACAAGCCCTGTGTAAGGAGGCAGAGAGGAGCAGGGTCACAGCAGGAAGCCAGGGTCACAGTGGGTCTGACTTACATCACTTAGAAACTATCAGTAAGTTTATGAAACATTTGTGGTGGTTTGAATGAGAATGGCCCCATGGGCTCATAATGTTTGAATACTTGGTCCCCAGTTGGTGGAACAGCTTGGAAAAGGTGACATGTATCACAGAGGTGAACTCTGAGGTTAAAAAAGCGTCCAGCCATTCTCAATGTGGTATCTGCTTCCTGTTTGTGGGATGGGACATGAATTCTCAGCTGTTGCTCCAGTAAGTGTCATGCCTGCCTGCCTGCTGCCATGGTCCCTTCCGTGATGAACTCCTATCCTCTAGAAGTGTGAGCCCCAATTAAGCCCTTCTTTCTATTAGTTGCTTTGGTCATGTGATTTATCACAGCAATAGAAAAGTAACTAAGACAGACCTCCTGCCTCAATTTGTCTGCAGACTCTTCTTCGACTGTGAAGTTATTAATGTACACTTTGTTTTTGTTTGAGACAGGGTTTCTCTATGTTGCTGTGGCTGTTGGAACTAGCTCTGTAAACAAGGCTGGCCTGGAACTCACAGAGATCTGCTTGCCTCTACTTTCCAAGTCCTGGGATTAAAGGCATGCACCACCATTGCCTGGCAAAAATGAGGCTTTCTCTTTTTTTGTTTTTTTTTCAAGACAGGGTTTCTTTGTGTAACAGCTCTAGATACCCTGGAACTCACTTTGTAGACTAGGCTGGCCTCGAACTCACAGAGATAGGCTGCCCGAATGTTGGGATTAAAGGCATGCACCACAACTGTCTGTAATAGGCACTTTTCTTTTTTTTTTTTTTTTTTTTTTGGTTTTTCCGAGACAGGGTTTCTCTGTGTAGCTTTGCGCCTTTCCTGGAACTCACTTGGTAGCCCAGGCTGGCCTCGAACTCACAGAGATCCGCCTGCCTCTGCCTCCCGAGTGCTGGGATTAAAGGCGTGCGCCACCACCGCCCGGCTGTAATAGGCACTTTTGAAAAGCAATTTTCCCTAGCTGTCAACTTTTATCTTAACAAATGTGCAGATTTCAAGTGGAGAGTCCAATTTGCATGGTAAGTAGGATATGGAACCAGACACCTAGCATCTGCCTGGATGGAGGAAATGATTCTAAAGCTACAAAACATGTCTAAATGGTTCAAAGAATCGACCTCACCTGCATCACTGACTTCTGCAGACTTTTTCTTCTCCTCTTCATATTTTGCAAAAACCTTTTCACTTAAGTCCTTGGATATTCTGAAAAATAAAAGCAAAGTCACAAAGCTGCCCAGCACTCCCTTTAACTGCTCTAAGCAGGCTGCCTTGGAGAGGTGCAACACTCTTGAAGAAAAGCAAATTCCACGATGTTTGGTCATCGCTGGGTGACAGAGTCAGTGCCCAGCAGTTTGTGCAGCTCCTGGGCTAAAATACTAGATCACCAAGGTCCTTGTACTTCAGGTGTCTGAAAATGTCAAATTACAGCTTGTTTCTTAAACAAGAGTGTTCAGATTGGGATTGCAGCTAAGTGGTAGAGCACCTGCCTGGCAGACACAGGCCCTGGCTTCCACCCTGAGTACTTTAAAACTCTAATAGCAAAGCCAGTGTTCACGGCAAGTGGGAAAGGAACAGGTATGCTAATCAGGAAGAGGAAAGAAGAGAGAAGAAAGAAAGAAGGAAGGAGGAAGGGAGGAGAGAAAGAAGAAGGAAGAAGACGAAGAGGAAGACGACGAAGATGATCTTACCTGATGGCTGAGAACTTTTTAGCTTTGGCTTTATTTAGAAACTTCTGGTACTTGGCGATCTTTTCATCTAAGGCTCTAATCACAGCTTTGGTGTCTTTGTCTTTGGTGTCAGGTTCTTCCTGAGAGTCCTGGGAAGG